AGACATCTACACCTCCAGATGCAGGAAGAGAGCCACCTGCATCATGAAGGACCCCACTCACCCAGCACACACTTTTTGCCCCGCTCCCCTCAGGCAGAAGGCTGAGGAGCACTAAGTGCAGAACCACCAGGCTGAGGAAGAGCTTCTACTCTGAGGCTGTTAGACTCATGAATCTCTAACCAGGAATAAATACCTGGAAAATTGCTTTGAAAAAAAAAAAAACAAAACTGAAAAATCACTGTAATGCCACTTGGTTGTTGATATGTGCTGCTGACTATCCATGATGCTGATCTCATGTTGCTGATTATTTCATATTGCTGTGTTCATTCGTCCTCATCTGCTCACACAGACTCATGTTCGTGCTGCTGTTGTTTTGGCACGTTGTTTTTGTATTATTTAGCGCTTAGTGTATTCTCAGTCTTGTGTATTCTTAGTTTAGTGAATGTAGTATATTCTTAGTTTATGACTCGGATCTTACTTAAGTTTTTCTTTACAATTTGTATTTTTGTTGGATGTAACTGGAACCCTGTGTACAAAGATCCGTCCCACCTCGTGTACCACGAGATGTGAATGACAAATAAATCTCTCTGAATTGCCTGAGCAGTTGTGAACCACTGCAGTTTTGAGAATAAATCTAGAATCGTCTGTTAATTTCTTAATGTATTTTACCAAATAAATATTAATTGTTTAAGATAGACGAAAAAGCTTGTAAACAGGGTTGTTTCTACAGGCAACCACTTCAAAAACAGACGGTTTCAAAAAATGTTACACAGGTGTATAAAGAACATGTCTTTTATTCACATTGTCAGTATAGCATCGGTGTGATGATACTAGATCAAATATTCCCAGCTTCTTTCATTGTGAGGAATTGAAGCCTGGTTTTTGGGAGCTGCCATGTTGTATTTTTGGAACCAAAATCTGCACACTGGAAACGTTAGGCTTTAAGACCAGTCTGCTTATCCACAAACAATTGTAGTGTCACATGACTGCATGGAATAACTAATTACAGCTCAACATTTTGTGAAATTCTAAATTTGAACTTACAGCAGCAATGTAAAATCTACAGGAATCAACAAGCGGCAACGCCAGTAAAAAAAAAAAAATCTGGTGTATATTTTTTTAATTTTACTACAAATAATGTACTGCTTGTACACAGTCAGACTTAGCTCCATCTTATATTTCAGATCTTATCATTCCACATTTTCCTAACAGAGCACTTTGCTCTCAGACTGCAGGTTTACTTATGGTTCCTAAAGTTTCCAAAAGTATAATGAGAGGAAGAGCTTTCATTTATCAGGTTCCTCTTTTATGGAACCAATTTCCAGTTTCAGTCTGTGAGGCTGACATACTGTCTACTTTTAAGATTAGGAAGACTTTCCTTTTTGATAAATCCTATAGTTAGTATTGGCCTATCCCTTATCCTATGCTGCTATAGGCTTAGACTACTAGAGGGCAAATTTACATTATTTCATCAAATGAATAGTTTGTATTTGTAATTATTTCTATCTTGTGTATTTTTTTATTTTGTCTTTCCTCCTAGAGAGGGACCTGCTCACCTCCATTCTGGACCTGACATTCTGTGTTTGTTTTTCCTTCCTGTCCTGAGTCTTGTTCTGCTGGAGGTGACTTCCTGTTATGGGGGAGGTTTTTTTTTTTCCCACTATTGCCTTGTGCTTGCTCAGGACGGGAGAGTGCGATGAAATGAAGACTCAGCGCAATCTGCTGGCTTCCCTACTCTACCTTAGATAAATAAGATTACTAATTGAATTTTTATGTATATGAATGTACTGTATTTGTTCAGTGCCCTGAGATAACTTCTGTTGTGACTTGGCTAGGGGGTGCACAATAAATCGGTCAGCTGATTTATCGGCCCCGACTTCCTTAATTTTGGGAGATCGGAAATCATCCGATACTTACATGAGAAACCAATATTACCGATTTTTTTGTAGTTTTAACAGCAATTGTCTAAACTTTATTTATATTTCAGAGCACTACCTCATAGCCAGTTAAAACAAGTTTGTATTATTTCTATGATATTAAGAAAAAATTGTTTAAGGGTATGTTTTTAATAAAATAAGCGAGGAAAACTGAAGGTGCATAGTGACCTTATAACACCTGACAGTGTCGCTTATAAGACAAAATCAGTGTCGGACAAAATTGGAATCTGCAGTTCTGGCTTTTTAGAGACCGTGATTGGCCAGAAAACTGAAATCAGTGCACCCCTAGACTTGGCGCTATATAAAAAAAATAATTGAATTGAACTTGAAACTTGCTGTACCTATTCCAGCTTCAGCTTCAGAATTGTGTGCCATTTTAAAACAAGACCTCTTATATACTTTTATTAGGTTATAAAAAAAAAGTTTCAATAATTGTCATTCATTGGCTTGACTGTATTAAACTGAATCTCAGTGTAATAAATCAAAACCCAAAGACTCACTCAAAGCAAACAACAATGACTCGCAAATTATATCATACCTTCGTCTTGATTTTAAATTCATCTTTGCTGTATCTATTGCATCATGCGGTTGAGCTTCTACTTTAAGCAAACAAGTAAAATTTCACACTGCAAGATTTTGCTCCGAGTCCTAGAGCAGCCCTCTGAAAAAATAGTGCCAAAAGTCAAATTCTGAATAAAAACTGCGCTGACACCATCTAACAGTAGCACAGGTATGAATAAAAACTACACAAAAAGATCCCAGCAGTTTTCTTTTTTTTTTGTCACAAGTTAAACTAGTACATGAGAGGTGGGGAATGGATAAGACAGGGAGTAAAAATAATGGGGAGGGAAAGGAGCGATCCATAAATAGTTAATGAAGTCTTAGCAGCTGAGGGAAGAACACCAAAGCTACTTAAAGTAAGCTGTCCACAAACACACCAACTCTAGAGCAAAGCCAAACATTGGCTGACAGTTTGCAAACACATGCAGCAGGAGGGAGAAGCAGAGCATCACTGTTCAACATGGAATCTCAAAAACAACACTCCAGCCCCCCCACCTTCAGTGTTATGTACTTGATTTCACACCACCACCATGGGAATATGCTTAAAGGATATAAGGCAGCGGGTTTTATGAGATACAGAAGATGAAGGAATAACAAACTGACTTGCATCATAGTTTTTGTCTCGGACGATAAAAGCAACGCTTAACAAAGCTGATGGGAAATTAACGATCGTCATCAGATGTTCACTTGCAGAGTTTGGTCAAAATGGTAGCCAAGTAGAATAAAGTAGCCTGGATTTTCGCACACTTTGAGGGCATAATCTCTTGGTTGCTAATGAGTCATTTTGGTTGATTTTAAAGTCTTTGCTCTCCCAATGGAAACACATAAAAAGTTGAACTTCTAAGATGAATGGGGAGCAACACTGGTGCAAAAAGAGGCACTGAAGGAATAAAAAAAAAAAAAGCCTTTAAAGTTCCCTTTTGCACACATGCTGACAAATGTGACAAACACACACTGCGAGCGCTAATACTTCATGGGAGTTCATCATCGCTGGAGTGAGACAAAAACCAATGAGGCTTTTTGGCAGATTTCCTGCTTGCCCAGGGTTGACAAATTGCCAAAGCCGTCACAGCCTCACTTTGAGCCTGCTAACTGATTCATCTGCCGTGAATTAGAGCTCAGGCATGAAAACAGGCGAGCAGAAATGCATGTTCCTCACACCTTAATGTGCATCACACAACACGGAGCAATTATAGTAACTTTGATAGTAATCTGTGAACGAGAATGCTCAATGCATCAATACATTGTTGCTACTCTGTGGAATCGTCCCCGATTAAGAAATGTTCCCAAATCTGTAATTTTAAGAATGAGAACCTGTAATGATCTAAACAGGCAGAGCAACAGTGTAATTAACGTTGTTCAAGGAAAACAATTTACACAAACAAAACTGTGATTTACATAATTTTAGCACTTTGGGAGCTCTAACATGCTTATTGACTTGGAAAGTTAGAATAAAGGTGAGCAAACCCCGGAGAACACTTTACAAACTTTGTTTTTCCTCAAATAGGGTCAGTAACTTTCCACACTTATGTGGAAATCAATGTGGAAATAAACAAAGTTCAATTCAGTTCAGTTTATTTATTTAGCGTCAAGTCACAACAGAAGTCATCTCAGGGCACTGAACAGAAACATTTATATATATATAAAATAATAATTTAACACTATTTATCTGAGGAGCAGACAGCTTTGAATTTAACTCCATCACAGAACTCCCATCTTGAGCAAGCATCAAGGCGACAGTGGAAAGGAAAAAACTCCCTCATGAGGAAGAAACCTTTAACAGAACCAGGCTCAGGGCAAGAAGCCATCTGATATAGATATAGATATGGATATATAGATATATAGATATATAGATATATAGATATCATCCAGAATCTATATTTAGTGAATATTTATATTTGATGGAGTTAAAATTTCTGAAAAGAGATGCACATTTAATTCTCAGTATGAGAGCAATTTCTAAACCCAGTTAAAATATCTACTCATAGAAGCTAATGAAGAAAAAAGCATAACTCCTTTACATTTATATTTGACAGAAATGAATTTAGCCTACTGGTCCAGATCAACACAAAAGTCCAAGGTATTTATGTGGCCTTTTTAACAAAACAAACAAACAAAAACAAGAGTTGCCCTCCTCTAGACGTGTATGTGGGTTAGAGGCAAACCTTTTTGTAATTATCAGAGGGCCTAAGCAACTATGCTTTTTGCTCCACAAGAAAAAATATCGTGGAATTTTTTTCATTAGATTGATGATAGGTGTGAAAATCAATATCAGCTCACACAGACATTTCCTGAATTTGGGAGAAAGAAAATACATTTCTACTTGTTTTTGCATTGACACTACAAACTCTTACAGGAAACCACAGCAGCACCTGCTAGAAAGGAACCAACGTAAAGACTGACATCTGTTTTATCTGCAAAATCTGATTAAATTTAAAAAGAGGGCAAAATTAATATTTTGCATTACACAACTGCAGAGCAAAATTCAGAAGTCTGACTCACCTGAGGGTGAAAATTTGCACGGAGGAAAGTGTGGACAGAGCCAGAAAGGTGGAGACAGTCTCTCTCTGCCTGATGGGTTTGGAAGGTGCCATCACCACAAAGTTATTGTCTAACTTGAGCTCTGACAGAGGCTGAAACAGTCTGACGCTCCCGATGCGCTGCATTGGTGTGTGCCCTGCATAATAGCCCATTGGCCTCTGCTGCTCTGCGCGAACCGGGCCAGCCTTTCTTGAATCCTCAGTGTTGCAGTCCCCACTGTCCGTGGTTTGAATCATATAGTAGAGCTCCACAGGAGTGCCTTGAGACTGCTCTAACACCCGCTGCCTGCCAGGCCTCACCGTGGGAGGGCTGAACCAACTTGCAAGGGGCTCCAGCTCAGCAACACATATTCCCAGCTCACCTTTTAGCCTGCATGTCCCGCGCACCTCTTGTGTCTCATGAAAGGCAAACATCCGGACACAGGGGAGCTTGTGGACGGCGCTGTAATCATCCCAGTCCCTGCCTGCGATGTAGAACAACACTTGAACTTTTGGGAAACTAGGGTGAATCCTCTCATTGATTATATATGTATGGACCTTCCAATTGAAAGTAAAAAGTGGTGATGACGTTGCTGATGTCGGAGCTGATGATGATGTAAAAGACGGCGTGTTAAATGGCCCTGGCAGTGTTTGAAGCATCTCCAAAGGGACAGGCTCCTGAACAGAAAGTTGCCCATAGCTGGCATTGACAAAGGGCATCTGTCGAGCCTGGTGGATAAAGAAGGACTCCGTGCGAGCTTGGAGGCTGGAGTTCCTCATTATGTCCTGGTTTGCCTCCAGTAAGAAGAATGCTGACTCAGCATTGATGATCCGGTAGCTGACAGGCAGATAGATTGGGGTAGGGCCGTACCGCTGCAGGCCATCCAGGATCACCTTGCTGTCCACCACTGGAAGACAGAGAAAAGAACAAAAACTAATCAACAACCTAAAAAAACGAAGATCCAAACAATCTGTTTTTAAAACTATTGACAAAACATGATGTACGCATAAACTTAAAGTATAATAAAGAAAAACAAAAAGGATTAAGTAAATAAGAGGGTGCATGGTGGAACTTCACTTCTTGCAAAGCATTTGCATGCATTGCCTGTAACTTGAGGCAATCGTATCTTCAGTCCGTTCCAGTATGTTAAATGCCTTGTTGGGAACATTTCCACATGATATCACTTCCACGAGTCACTGCTTTTATTAACAGGGACTTACACTCGTTTCAAAACACGTGTGCCTGTCTCAGTCTTATGCTTGTCATGCTTGTTCAAGTTCTCATTGTTCTTTTATGTGTGATACTGAAACTCAGCTTTGTTGTCATTTTGGTCTTTCCTCTCTGAATTTTACATAATTTAAGTTTTTGTCATTTTCCTCTGACATTGCTACATTACTATATGCTACTGTCAAATTTAGAGGTTTCTTATGAAACTCAGCACATTTCTTTCCACCTTGCTCCAAATAGCATGCCAGTAGCTTAGTTAAAGTCCATCCATCCATCCATCCATCCATCCATTATCTTTTACCCGCTTCTTCCATTTTGAGTCGTGGTGGTCACTGGTGCCCATGTCCAGCAATCACTGTGCGAGAGGCAGGGAACATCCTGGACAGGTCGCAAGTCCATCACAGGGACACAGAGACAAACAATCATTCACTCTCTAACTCACACCTAGGGACAATTTAGAGTTCTCATTCAGCCAAACATGCATGTTTTTGGTCTGTGGGAGGAAACCAGAGTACCCGGCGAAAATCCACGCAGCAAAGAGAAAACATGCAAACTCAACCCAGAAAGGCCCCGGTCTGGGATTTGAACCAGGAAAACCTGCTCGCTGAGAGGCAGCTGCTCTACCAATTGTGCCACCGTGCTGCCCCTATGTTAACCAGCAGTTATTACCAAATGTCAGTTGAAACAATAAATACAAAGATTTTTCTCATGGCATGCAACTATTTGAAACTCAAGCTATTCTTTCTTTATGTTAATTTTCATCTATATGCACCCCCCATTGAGTTAAAACTTCACCTTCTTCACCTATTTACAACAGTTTTAAGTCAAGGTCATCATGAAATCTAAGGTCTCACACGACCAAGAATCTACCACCATCTCCTCTTCACTCCATCCCGTAAATCGTCTTCACCACCTCTGTCCGCTCACCACCGAGCATGAAGCTTCAGATATTTGGACTGATGGAGAAGCCCATTAGAGCCCATTGATTTTCTGTCCTGAACCCTGCATGCTGTGGAAGACATGTTGTGGTAGTGATTTGTGACAGTCTATGGCTGGAACCCAATGACTGGCTCTCCAGATGGACAGAATCAGTCACGGGAGCAGCACTTTAGAAAGAACAATACAGTAGAGGGTAAACATTTAAGCTAATGTTTACATAAAATGATTAAAACGATCAGCATACCAGATATTATGCAAATGTCATGATGATGACAAATGAGTGCACTTACTACAAACAGAGAGTTCAGGAATGTTTTCTTGTGTGTTAGAATATGTGCATGGGGTGTTTACTTCAGTATGGTTAACTTGTCGGATCTTTGAGCTGTGCAAAAAGCTTTAAAACCCATGGAAGGAAGACAAAGAGAAGAAAGTGTCCTATTTATGTGAACGTGAGCAGCAGGATTTATTTTGGTATTTGTTTTAATGTCAGGAGGTGGTTTGAAGCATCAGTAAGGACAAATAAATCCACAATGATCCAGTTGGCTCATTTGTCCCTCAAATAATTGAGTATTGTTCTAAATAATGCCTCCTTCGCTATGAAACTGTGCTGTAAGGCCAATATTTAAAAAAAAAAAAAAATCATCTATGTAGTGTGTCACGTGGGTACGTGTCACTTGTTGTATGACAAATATATGGATATATATTTATGCATACTTTTCACGAGTTCTTCATTTTTCTGACTGTAAATGCCGTGCATTGAATTTAACACAAAATGTAACGAGAGACGTTATTTATCTTTGACCCATCAAATGAATGGAGTCATTTATTTTCAGAATCAAAGTTTAACATCAAACATTTACATTAATTTGGCAAAATATGAAAATAATAACAGACAGTTTCACAAATAATGAACTTCAAATCACTCGGCGGTGATTTGAGGACTTTGCTTCAGATATTTCTAAAAATATCCGTACTGATTTATGAGAGAGAGGTGAGTTTAAGATTAAATGGAGATTTATCTTACAGAGGAATATGTGAGGGAAATTTAATCTGTTTAACCAGAAATTGCACGCTCCGTCAGATCTCAGCTTCTCACGGTACACTTGGTCAAAATAGAACCATCTACCTGTTGATGATGAATCAGCGTCGGAGTAGTTCCTTTCTGACTCGTTTCAGCGTCTCCGTCGAGAACTACCAAACCTTCAGAGAGTCATGCGTGGTTAGTTCAAACAGAATTATAATCCCAAAACGTCTCTGTATTCTTCATTGCTCTCTTGGACTCTTCATTGCTCTGAAACTTTCAGAACCGACTGCACTCTCAATCTCACATGAACTGGGAAGTTGCCACATTTTATTTGGGTCGACTTCCTGTTCAATTTAGAGCTTTCTGATTCGTGGAAGGACCAGAAAGAGGAGTGGTTTTCGTGACGTAAGTTGTTATCAAAATCAAGGTCAGGGAATGAATCTGTTTTCACATACAGAAAAGATTATTGCAGAAACAGCAGACTTTTTGGAGCCTACTCTTGGTAATCTTCTGAAAAAGTTTAAACATGACATCTTTCTCGGTAAACATTTTAGTTGACCGAAAACCAACCTTTCACATACTTACGACTTGACTCATTTCAGACAGAAAATCAAGAAATGCATATTCAGGTGATTTCTGCTTTGAATGAGGAATAAAAATCATTACTTACTGTTTATGTAAAATAAAAATGAGTAGTTCTTTTCAACCTGTAAGAATTGAGTGAAACTAACACAATTGATTATCAAAACATTTGTAAAACAGTAATGATTATAGAGGATTGTCTTTTCTGCTTGATTAATTCAATAAAGAAAGTCATCAGATGGTTCAGACTTATTCAGATCAATGAAAATAACAGTCTCTGTCCATCTGGTAGATTTGAGGTCATCTGGTTCACTACATCTACATGGATGAATCTAGTTGCTTTTTATTGTGGCATTGACAAAAAGACAGGAGAAATAACTGGAAGTGGCATAAATGAAGATGCTAAGGTTCTCCTTAGGAGTGACAAGGATGGATAAGTTTAGGATTGAGATCATCAGAGGTACAGCGCAGGTTGAACAACTGGGAGATAAAGTTAGAGAGACCAGACTGAGATGGTTTGGACATGTCCAGAGGAGAGACAGTGGGTATATTGGAAGAAGGAAGTTAGAAATACAGCTGCCAGGAATAAGACAGAGGAGATGTATGGATGCAGTTAGAGAGGACGTGGAGGTAGTTGGAGTGAGAACAGAGGATGCAGAGGACAGAGTAAGATGGAGAAGGATGACTCTCTGTGGAGACCTCTGAAGAGGGAAAATCTGAAAGAAGAGAAGAAAGGTATGTGTGCACTCATACGCCTGTTACCAAATTAACTCGTGAACCACTTGACACATTTTAATGATTACAGAATGTAATAAATGGATGCACACCTACAAACAATTAACTTTTTGAATAAACTCAATTCAAGATGTTTGCCACAGCCATTGGTTTTCCAAAACACAAAAATGTCTGTATGAGAATTTTCCAGATATTGACCTAAAATTAGCTGAGACTTATTTATAACACACTTTTAAGATAAGGTGTTGGACAATATGCAATCCTTCAAGGAATGTTAGGCCTTCCGTATTCATCTTATGTCTACAATAAAATAAAATGACAGATCGTACAAAGAATATTATATATCTAAGAACCTGTTTTGGATTCTTGCATTGGTTGCAACTTAAAAACCGTCCAGCCAGCTCAGAGTTTGTGGTGAAGAAGAGCATGAGGAGATGACAACTTTGTCACTGTTCACTGCTGTTAAAAAAAAACGACAAAACTGAGACTGATGTCAAGAAAGGAAAGAGTACTTAGTCGATGCTTGAGCGTGCGTACAGCAGAACCAATCTGTCCTTCCTCTTTTGGGGATGGGGGTGGTGGAGGGTTGACACACTGTCCTAGTTTTTACTTGCTTTGACATAAATGAAAACTAAATATTTCATTACAGCATAAAAACTGCTGTAATTTGTAACTTCAGATTTAGAATATGCTCTTCTTTGTGACATTAACAGGGCAACGTTAACACAGAGGCAGAACCGCGAGTGATTTGCAGCCCCGGGTTGCCCTTGGATTTCGTATCTACAGCTGCTATACTTGTAAATCATGTCTGCAGGACCTTTGCTGCAAATGAAAAAGGGAATGATTTGTGCAGATAACGTTACCTCCTGCGGTAAATCCTGGCTGTAAACTCTTGTGGAGGATTTTTGAGCAATGACAACTCCTCTGGATGTCAGATGAGGAGTCTGATCACATCATCATGAGACAGATTCAGGATTGAATGTATTTATGTTGTATTCATGCCAGCTGAGCCGGAGAGCTCTAAAAACACATGATTATAAATTAGAATTAGGATTAAAGTATGTTTATGCCAGTTCTGAAGCACAAAACAACTTTTAGAATAAAATGAACTTAAAGATTTAAGCCGACAAGATAGACTTGTAGCTTCACATAAAATAATTTTCTTTAATCACCTGCTTACATCCCTGATGACCTAACTGCACATATAATCCCTTCATCTTGCCTTCCTGCTCCTCTTCTTATATTCATCTTCCACCATGTGTGCATCTTGTAGCTACGTTCTAAACAAAAATGTATGTTCATGATACATTCAAACATGTTCATATGAGATTTATGGAAGGAGATATATTATTTTTAAGGACCCGTAAACAGAAAAACAGCCTAGTAGGGTGGATGCGATT